CTGTTCCTGACTCTCCAGAGACACAAATGGAAATAAAAGTCCAGAGCATAAGTACTAATTTAATAGGAAAACAATGAAGAAACTGGATGGCATGGAATGATAATCTATGTATATAATAAAAGTCAATGTTTGTATGCGGAGGGAGGACAGTGTATGTGGCAGCTTTCTGATTGGCTGCCACTTTCACAGGCCACTGTGACCAGCACGCGTGACGGACCTGGACCACACTTGGCACACATAACCCTCATGACCCCCTTTACATCCTGGTGAGGTTTAGGGGAGGACGGACAAAGGATTATGGTATTTGTAGTACTTTCAAACCCATTGGTTCCCATAGACCACTGTGGCCCCCAACAAAGACCGATAAAGACCAGACTTGGCACACAGAGCCCCCATAACCCACTATACATCCTACTGCAGTTTGGAGGAGGGCTGACCATGGATGATGGGACTTGAAGTACCTCCACTCACTTCCCAAGACCAAAACTTGGCACACATAACCCCCATGACCCTCTTTACATCCTGGTGAGGATTGGGGGAGGACGGACAATGAACAATGAGATTTTTAGTACTTTCCCACCCTTCCGTTCCCACAGAATACCGTGCCCATCAAACACCGATAAAAACTAAACTTGGCACACAGAGCCCCCATGATCCACTCTACATCTTACTGCTGTTTGGAGGAGGGTGGGCCATGGATCATGGGACTTTAAGTACCTCCACTAGCTTCCCGTGACCTCTGTGACACTCATCCAATGACTGATCAAGACCAAACTTGGCACACAGAGCCCACATGATCCACTCTACATCCTGGTGCTGTTTAGAGGATGATGGACCATGGACGATGGGACTCGCAGTACCTTCACTAAATTCCTGAGAGCACTGCGAGCCACATAAATAACTGATAAAGACCAACCTTGCCGCACAATGCCTTTCTCAAATTACCTGGGCAGCGCCAGGACCCCAAGCTAGTAATAAATAAACAAACTGGAGAGGGAAGGGGGTGCAGTGCTGCAAGAAATCTCAAATGAAAGGAAAGATACATTTCCTTAAAAAGCATATGAGAAGGGGGAAGGGCTAACTACAGTTATAAGGGAAGGGAAAATAGCAGGTGAGGAGTCACAAATAGACAAAGACAAACTAAAAATGTGTTTTTTAAATACAAACGGGATGGCTTTGGATCTGAAGCGGTCAAGAATAGTAGTTAGTCAAGAAATCACATTGCAGTTTTCTCTGTTTACAGGAAATCCACAAACATAAGAAAGATAATAAACAATTAATAAATATACCAGGCTGGAGGGTGACAGCAGAAGCGAAGGGTACAAATAAAGCCAGAGGGGTAGCGATAGTAATGGAAAACTCATTAAATTGTAAATACTAGAAACAATAGTAGATTAGGAAGGGATATATATATATATATATAGTGCTAATATATAAAATAAATGGCAGGAAATATAGAATAGGAAATGTATATGGCCCAAATAAAGGACAAAAGAAATACTTTAGAAAGTGGTTTAGGAAAGTATAAGAAATTTATCAAGGGGAGCTAATAGTTGGAGGGGACTTTAAAATGGACCTTAGAAATAATAAAAAATCTTTTAAAAGAATGGAAATTGGAGGATGTACATATTAAGAAAAAACACTAACAGGTCTAGAATTCTAAACAGGGAAACACAACCGATCTGGATTTCAGATCATGCGCCTATTATAGTGGAGTTAAAGATAGAGGAAACAGAGATAATAAAAACTTGGAGGTATAAAATTATGACCAAAAAACTTAAGAAAGAACTATTAGAGGAGATAAAACACAAAAACTATGTTGAGATTAAAAACTATGTTGAGATTAACTTCACAATTCAGCAGCAGATCAGTTGCACAACTTCAGCGCTTTCCAGTAGCTTCTTCCTGCACAGTATTTTCAGTCAATTGCTCCCACAGCCTGCAGTCACTCTGGAACCTTTTACAGACACTTGAGCACATGCCTGGCCATCGTCACTTTTACCATTGTCTTTTCCCCAGTCTAAATGATATTACAGACTTACCACAGCACACAGCACACAGTTATATCTTGTCTTAGCAGACAGGTTCTTTTAATTACATATAGCCTTCGACGAACAACATCACAGCACAAGGAGAGAAATATACACTGTACATGACTTCCTTATATACAATTCATTTACACATAGCAATCACCGATTGGTTCCCAACTCATTGACTCAACTCAAACCCAGGATTGCATCATTCACAATCACCTGGACTAGGCCAAACACATTCCCCAAATGATTCCCTATATACAATCAATGCATGACTCAGTATTAGCAGGGCATGACTCAGCTATATTACATTGCAATACACTGTAAAACCTGACAAACGATTACCAAGCTAAATACCAAGCAGAGGTGAAAGTAAAGTTGGAAAAATTAAAAAGAAATAGAAGAAATTGATAGTTTGGACTCATGGAAAAAAGAGGTATATATTAAAAACAATTTTCAAAGACAAAATACAAATACAATGAAAAAAATTGCTAATCTGAAGAATGTGAAAGAGAAAGGAAGAGTCACCCAGTTAAAGAACAAATATAATAAAAAGGTATATTCAAGCAAGGAAATAAGAGAGTTCTTTGTAGACTTTTACCAGAACGTATATATAAAAAAATACACAGAGGAAGATTTAATAAAAAAATACAGAAGAAAATAGATAGAGAAGAACATAGGAAACTAGGAACAGAAATAACATATCAAGAAATAAAGCAGGTGATTGATGCATTGAAAAATGCAAAATCTCCAGGAAGCGATAGTTACACTGCAGAAAGTTATAAAGAAATAAAAGAAATACCGTATATTCCGGGGTACAAGACGACTTTCTAAGCCTGGAAAATCATCTCAAAAGTGGGGAGTCGTCTTGTACCCCGGCATAATTTTTTTTGGATCATTTTTCCCTTGTCTCCCTCGCCCTTGGCATCCCCGCGTGGTGGAGCCTGAGGAGGAGGGAGGGCGGAGGGAGGGAGGGGGCGAGGAGGAGCAGCGGCAGGCTTCGCTACCAAGCTGGCAGCATGGTAGCCTACTGGGCTGTCGTCATCCTCGCCGGCATTGAGTTGGCTCCGTCTCCGCCCTCTAATCCCAAAAAAGGTGCTGCAGGAGCCAAAGCCGGAGGGGTGGGGGTGGGGCCTCTGGCTACTCTGGCCCCACCCCCCACGGAGGGCCCCGCCCCCGGTCCCCCCCCGCGGAGGCTTCAACTCCTGCTGCTTTACTGTAGCAGACCTTTTTGCCCAATAGGGCCCTCAGCCAAAGCTTGGCTTGCAACTGTTGAGCGAGTGCAGGCAGGAATCAAAGGGACGGACAACTTGATTCATCCAAAGGAAAGCAGTTTATTAAGTTTCAAAGCAGCTGCCTGGTCACCTCCAACGCAACGAGGCGTTTCTGAGGAAGCGACCCCCTCTGGTGGGCTGAACTCTTTATATATATTTTGGAAAAACGAAAGTTCCCATTTCCCTGAAATCATGTGATTTCCGAGAAATCAGGTGGTCTTTCAGGGGCTGCACCCCGCACTCAACTTTTGCACAGAGCCCCGCACTCAACTTTTGCACACGGGACTCTCCCCCCCCTCACCTTCCTTATTTGGCAGCATATCCCTTATTCCCATTTCCACAACAATAAGGCTGCCTCATTTCTCTATTTTTTTTTGCTAAGCGTTTTACAAAAGCGAAAGCAAATCAGCAAAGGTTATTATGGGTCCCTCCAACTTTTTTTCTGGATGAGGCCTATCTTTCTTATTGGGGTTACTTGCATTATACACTTTTGGCAGGCTTGGAGCATAATTGGAAAACAACATATTAGCAATAGAAAAATGACACAGCATAATATGATTATAAACATCAACTCTTTGAGCCATGATATTGAAGGGAGCCAGGAGGTCAACCACGAGAAAGGTTTCCACCCATCTTCTTTTACATTATGATTTATTAATTCTTGTAATTTTTCTAAATCATCTTCAATCGTTTGGTTGAGATCATGAAATTGAACCACACAATGGCCCTTTATTATAGAACAAAATCCTCCTTTTGCTGCCAGCAGATAATCCAGGGCCAACTTGTGTTGTAACACCATCTGGCTCAGCTCTTCAATTTCAGATTGTAATTGTTTAACTATTTTTCCGGTGGCATTTATGCTTTTCTCTAATCTACACGTGAGCCCTAGAATACTTTTTCTATTCTCTTGGGCAATTATACCTGGGTAGGATCCGAGAGTCAGGACTCCTGTTATCAATCCCCCTCCCACCCGTGCGCCCTCAGTGTCAGACAAGGGAGAGTTTATGATCACTTCGTCTGAACACTCGGGTCCTAAAGGCGCCACGGGTTGTAGGGACCTTCGAAGTCTTGTGAGGGTTTTGGGGTGTCTGAGAACTCTCACAGGGAATGTTAAATATCCCACCCCAACACACTGGTATCTTCCCGGATGGTAATTGGTGGCCCATTTGTCAAAGAAAAACCACATATTAGGATCTCTAATTTGCCATCCTGAACAAATACTACCACCACTATTCAAGGTAGTGTAATTTGAATCAAACATGGGATATTCGGGGTATAATTCTTTCCAATCTGTGTCTGCCAAATTTTGTCTATTGGTATAGGTAGAATTATGGGTTCCATGTAGATAGAACCTATCTGTGCAGTAAGTATAATTCTTTAACCCTATTAGGAAGGCTTTTCTGCGTTCCCAATCTCTCCACCTTTGATTCCATGTACCCTTATTTCCACAACAAAAACACATTCCTCGCGTAGTGGCAGTGTATCTTATTCGTCTAAACCTAGCTTGATTTAGTCCATCAGGAACCTGGGAAAACATGGTGGGATTTTGAATACTTCCTTGCAATCCCCCAAGCACCACCTGAGGGTCTTCTATTAATGCTGGGAGGAAGGATAAGTCACCTGTTTTTTCTGGATATTCATATATAAGAGACACATCTTTACCATGTTGGGCAAACATAAGTCTTGCATGCTCTTTTAGCCAATTTCCCTGTATCACAGTGATCATATTTATGAGCATTAGGAACCCAAATATTGTCCGAACTCCTGTTGGTTTTCTGGTGCCTCCTCCTCCCCTTCCCATCATAATGTCTTTCCACCACTTCCAGGATAGTGCTTTTGTTGGGCCACACTGCGACATACTTGACCTTCGACGTTCTGTTGTACCCGATGGGGTCAGCTTCATGGCCTTGTTGACCCCGTAGGGGGTTGCCGGACGATCCTGAGTCTCAGGTCACTCTGATCCGCTTTTTCCACTTTCCACACAGGGGGCGCCAACTTGGCACGGGTGTAGTGTATCCAAGGTTTGACTTCCTTCACTTTGATGGCGGTAGGGGTTGATAACAGCACAGTATAGGGTCCTCTCCACTTTGGTCCAAGCGGGTCAATCTTCCACTCCTTAATGAGCACTTCGTCACCTGGCGAAAAACAATGCAAAGGTGTGGTAGGATAAGGTGGGCTCAGTTCTGACGTATATTGAGCTATTTGTTCTATCTGTCTAGCCAGAGCTTGCAACTGTTGAATCGTCTGTTTGTCTCCAATCACATGTTGGTCTCCCCCTTTGTTTATTATTGACCTCAAATTTAGTGGTGGCCTTCCATACAGTCTCTCATAGGGGGTCAAACCTGTTCTTTTATGGGGGGTACATCTTATTCTCAATAGCACCATGGGCAGCACTACAGTCCATCCCAGCCCTGTCTCTTGGCAGGTTTTTGATATAGCATTCTTTACAGTCCGATTCATTCTTTCAACTTTTGCGGATGACTGGGGTCTATAGGCACAATGCAACTTCCACTTGGTGCCCAATATTTGGCACAATCCCTGAACTACCTTGTGTACATAAGCTGGACCGTTATCAGATCCTATTTCCAATGGTATTCCAAACCTTGGGATTATGTCTCTTAACAGTGCCCTAGAAACTTCTACCGCCTTCTCAGTACGGGTTGGGTATGCCTCTACCCACCCAGTATAAGTGTACACAAAAACAAGCAAATATTTGTAGCCCTTTTGCGGAGGCAGTTTGGTGAAATCAGTCAAAATTGCCTCGAACGGGGTGTTGCCTACATGTTGAACTCCTGGGGGCTTTAAGGGTCCTTCTCGAGGGTTATTCTTGGCGCAGGTCCAGCACCTGCGTGCAGCCGCTGCCGTTAAGCTATGGAGCCCATCGATGTACATCTGTCGTCCCAACAACGTTGCTAGGGCCGTCTTACCCAGGTGTGTAGTGTAGTGCATGTGTCGGACTATGTGCCATGCCATGTCCTTAGGGAAGTAGACGCGGTTATCTGGCATCACAATGACCTCTCCCTTCCATTTTCCTTTTTCCCCCAAGGCCCAATTCTCCTCCTGTGTATATGCAAACTTTTCTAATGGGGGGGTCCTCTAATGTAGTTGCAGTTAGCAGGCACTGCTTATTGCGGGGGTGTTTTGCTGCCTCCCTTGCGGCCAAATCAGCTGACCCATTTCCTTGCGTAACTGGATCTTCTCCCCTCTGGTGTCCCTTACATTACAGCAACCCGATCCGGTTCCCAAACCGCCTCCAGAAGGGCCACAATCTCAGCTGCATTCTTAACGCCCTTTCCAGCCGACGTAAGGAGTCCCCGCTCCTTGTACAAAGCTCCATGGGCATGAAGCGTAGTAAAAGCGTACTTTGAATCCGTGTAGACATTGACCCGCTTTCCTTTTGCCAACTGCAGTGCCCTGGTGAGGGCTATCAACTCGGCCCGCTGAGCGGAGGTTCCCGGAGGGAGCGACTCTGCTTCCAAAATCTCTCCCCCCCCCCGTACCACCGCATACCCTGCACGCCTCTCACCATTTTCCACGAAGCTGCTGCCATCTGTGAATAGGGTCATGTCTATGTTGGACATTGGTACGTCTTTTAAATCGGGTCGGCTGGAGTATACCTGTTCCATCACCTGAATGCACTGGTGGATCATCTCCTCCCCCGGGGCAGGCAACAAGGTAGCCGGATTCAGGGTGGCGCAAGTTTCCAGGGTTACCATTGGGTTGTCACATAACACCCCCTCATACTTAGTCAGTCTCTCGTTTGTGAGCCAGCGTGGTCCCTTGGTGTCTAACAGTGCCTTCACATGGTGTGGTACCTTTACGACCAGTGGCTGCCCTAAAGTCAATTTGTTTGCTTCTACTGCTGCTGCCACAGCCCGCAGGCATGGTGGCATTCCCTGCGCTACTGTGTCTAGTTGCCTTGACAAGTATGCCACTGGTCTTTGCCATGACCCTAAAGCCTGGGTAAGTACGCCCACTGCTACTCCTTCTCGCTCCGATACGAACAGAGTGAAGGGTTTTTCCATATCCGGTAGGCCCAGGGCTGGTGATGACATCAAAGCTTTTTTTAAAGCTTCAAAGGCTTGTTGGCATTTTTCTGTCCACTGGAATGGATCTTCTCTATTCCCTCGGGTGGCCTGGTATAAAGGCTTGGCCAATACAGCATAGCCTGGAATCCACTGCCGACAATACCCTGTTGAACCCAAAAATTCCCTAACCTGCCTCCTGCTGGACGGGGTTGGTATTGCACAAATAACTTTTTTTCTTTCAACTCCCAGTGACCGATGTCCCTCAGTTATTTCAAATCCCAGATATTTTACACTTCTTTGACACAATTGAGCCTTCTTTTTGGACACTTTGTATCCTTTTTCCTCTAATGTTTCCAACATTTTCAGGGTGTAGTGCCTACACCCAACCTCTGTCCTACAGGCTATCAACAAATCATCCACGTATTGGAGCCACACCCCTTCACTCTCCGGAATTTCAAATTCTTCCATGTCTTTAGCCAGTGCCTGTCCGAATATCGTGGGACTACTGTGATAGCCCTGAGGGAGACGAGCCCACATGTATTGGGCCCTTTGGCCGGCTTGTTGGGTGTCCCACTGGAACGCAAAAATCGGCTGGGACACGGGAGCCAACCGGATACAAAAGAACGCATCTTTAATATCCAATACAGTAAACCATGTTAGCAGTCAGACTCTCCAGTCTGGCACAGCAAGCGTGTGGTTTCAAAATAAACAAACGCAGGCAGCATTCTTCTAAGGTAGCTTTACTAAAACGTCTATACACAAAGAACTACATCTTGGAACTAAAGATGGCGACGGACACACAGTACAAGACAAGCAGGCAAAAGTAAACATCCTGTTCTTCAAGCTGGGTAACTCCCTTTTTCTTCCCTGGGCAAAGGAATTTCTGTTATCTCTGTCTCAAGGTTCTTTCTCTCTCTGCCTCTTAATAACAATTCTAACACACAGCTGAATCCATCTTTGAAAACCAATACTATTACATTGTAATACATTATAATACTAATACAAACACATTGAAAAACATACATACATATGAAATAACTATAACCACTCTGACAATTCCCCCTCTTTTTCAATGTGTTACAATACCTCTCTACATACATACATGTGGTTTGCATAATAGTAACTTCTTGACTCTTGATTCTCAACTTCAATATTCACTTATTCTTACTCTTTAACTTTACTCTTCACTCTTACACATTTGTCTACTATTTTTAACTTCTATAATAATTTCATCATACATTTGCTTCATTATAACTTTTTTACACACAGTAACTTCTTTTCATTACATAATACATTTCTGCAAACTTATAATGTCTTAGTACATACAATCATGTCTCCATACATTTCTGCATGTCTTTTACATATTAACTCTATATCATTACTGTTCTTCATTTCATAATGTCTCTTTGTGATTCTATAATCTCTTCAATACACACAATTACTCTTCTTCATTACTTCTTATTGCATCTCATTTCTTAATACATATCATTCTTACATTTCTTCTTAAAGTACATCATAGCTACTTAATGCATCATATCTTCAATATAACTACTATTCTTTGTTACCTCAATACTTTAATAACCATTACCTTTAATAATCATTTCATAATAATTGTAACTCTTTACACTCTATAACTTTACACCACATGATTTGACTTCTTAGTCTCAATACATCAATACAACAATACAGGGGAATAAATGCATCATAAAGTCTTATCAATACACATAGCAAAACTACAAAAAACATGAAACACATTGCATTTTTTGCAAAGGCACCTGCGCTTTAGTTGAACACAGTTTCAAACATCTTGCACTATTACATTTTTGACAATCTAAACCAAATCATAACAAACTCATTTTATTTCAAAACACTCTTGACCCTTGTAAAAACTAGAAATCTCCGTCATCCCATGTTACATAGTCTTTCCCTACTGCAACTGTATCTACGCCCCCAGTGGCTGAATTATGGTGCTGCATGTATTTCACTGCATCTCTCTCATTCATGACGCTAACTTGCTTTGTAACTATTGGCTCTTCAGGTTCCTGTTTAACTTGCAAACTCTTTCTTTCTCTCCTCTACTTTTTGGTGATTCTGTTTCTGACTTGTATGTGACTTCTCTTTCCTTTGAATGTGTACGTTTTTCTGCCAACTCCTGCACTTTCTGCATCACTTCTGCATATTGCTTAGCTATTTTCTCACTCTTTGTCTGTGTGTGTGTGCCTGACTCATGTCTCTTTTTCACTTCTGTGCCTGTGGCAACACTCCTTTCCTTTCTACGTGTATCTGGCTCAATCTTTACCTCTTGTGTCTGCTTCTGCTCAACCTCTGCATCTGGTGGTGCAACTCTTCTCTCCTCTTTCTTTGTGGGTAAACCATGTAAGTTCTCTCTGTTAGTGTGTATGTCTTCCCAGTCTCTCAATCTTTGAAAATATGCCACTCTCGCTAACTTGACTGTTTGTGGTGAACTCAAAAATTTTAGATAATTCTTATAATAGCCAAGGAAAAACATCTCACGATAACGGTTGCGTTTGTTTCTCTCATTCACAGATAGTAACACATTTGCACAGTGTCCAAAGATTCTCATGTGTTTCAAACTTGGTGCATAGCCATACAATTTACGAAAAGGAATGTCATCCAACACCTGATCCCACAAACAATTCATTATATAATTAGCTGTGTGAATTGCTTCTGGCCAGTAGACATTCTCAATTTTCGAGTCTTTGAATATACATGTTTTCATTTCATTTATATACTCCATTCTTTTGTCTGCAATCCCTTCCTCATTCTTGAGCTGACTCGTTTCAATGACTTCAATACCTTCTGACTGCACAAACTGCTTTAGCTCATCTTTACACACTTCAGCTCCTTTATCAATGTACAAGGTTTCCAGTTGTGCATCAAAAACATTCTCAACCATTTTAAACCAATTTTTGAGCTTCTCAGTTGCCTCTGACAAATCTTTCAAGAAATAAATGAATCCAAATTTAGTTAATCTCTCCACTACCAACATAGTAAATATAGATTTTCCACCACTTTGTTGGTAAGGTCCTGCAATACTAATGTGTCCTATTTGGAAAAGTCTCTCAGCTCTAATCTTGGATTTCTTATAACACTTAATCGGTTGCCTTTTTACCTCACTGCAGATTGCACATTTTAGATCAAAATAACATCTTTCAAGCTCATGTTCTGGACACAAATTTAAAGTTTTCTTTAAGACTTCCATGTCAGCATGCCCCATAATCCTATGGAGTAAATGTATGCACCTGTCATGTTGAATTTCATTTTTAACACATTGTACTTGCACATTCTCATTGCTCTCTGTCTGATTCAATTTCTCAAACATTAGGTACATTTTATCTTTCTTCACACCTTTAGCAATCAAAACACCCTGTGGGTCAAAAATATAACAATAAATTCCTTTGAACTTTACTTGATAATTATGATCAGTCAAAGTTGCTACACTCAACAGATTAGTTCTCATTTCTGGTACATACAATACTTTCTCCTAACAAACATTAAGACAAGGGATATAACAAGTCCCAAACTTTTCAAACATGAGATAAGACCCATCAGCCATAGTTACCATACTCCCCTGGGTATATTGGGTGCTACTCATGTTACTTAGAGAATTCGAAATATGATGTGTTGCACCAGAATCTAATAGCCATCTGTCTCTTTTGATGCCATCCAGTTCTCCTACAGCAGCAACCATGATCCTCGCCTCTTCGGCTTGATTTGAGCTATTTCTCCCATAATAGCCCCCTCTGTTTCCGCGACCTCTGGAACCACGAGCACGACTACTTCTGGGTTGGTCTCTTCTCTCAACACAATTACGTGCCAAATGTCCAATTCTATTGCAGTTGAAACATCTCCGGTCAGTTGTAACAGATCTGACTGATGGCTGTGCTTCATCGGCTGTGTTTATTGACTCCCCCACGCAAAGACTTTGTTCTCTCTCATAACGTCGCCGCTCATCTTCTTGCAAAATTCGACTGCACACCAATTCTACTGTTAAATCTTGTGCTCTTACTGATTGTAATGAATGAAATAAAAAGTCCCACTCAGAGCTTAATGATGCCAAAAGAATGTAAGCTCTTGATTCATTGCTCAGCTCCACTCCCCGGGAACTGCATCCCATAAACAATTCTTTCATCAGCTTGAGATGTGTACGAATGTCTCCTCCTGATTCAAGCTTAGCTCTGTAAAGCCGCTTTGTCCAAATTAACTTTGCCACAACACTGTCAGTAACATGTATTTCCTTTAAAGTATCCCAGATCTCCTTTGCAGTTTGTAAATTCCTTATGTGTAAAAGTTGACCACCACTCAGGCACAATACAATAGTAGAAATAGCCTTACGATTCTTCTCAGGATCTGCTTCAGTACCAGTTAAACAATTTTGTAATCCTTCTCTTGCCAATAAATGCTGCATGTATATGGACCATTCATTGTAATTGTCATCATTCAGTTTGTCAAAACTTACTGTAGGATGATTGATAGACGTAGCCATGTTTTAACCCTTGACACCGAGTTTAAGCCCAGCTGAAAGATAAACAGCTTCTGGCAGTTTTATGGCTTGGCTTGGCAGATTCCAACATCAATCACCTTCTTAATCACTCAATTGGCCCAGCGCGCCCCGCTGCGTATCTTCCTTCAAAACTCAGCCGCGTTACTCACCGCAGGGCTGCAATCTTGTCATCAACTCACACTGGATAGCCACGGCAAAATTCTCTCTTTTTGCTCCGTTCAGGCTGTTCCAGCTCCCATGCTCCGTCAGCCTCTCCTGTCAACTGGGTTGCAATTCAGGGCTCCGGCAGCATGCTTACAGGTCTGCTCCTTGGTACACTCGTCATCCATAAATCTGGTCATTCAGGGCATAATTCTGGGCCCATAACCATTGTTAGCAGTCAGACTCTCCAGTCTGGCACAGCAAGCGTGTGGTTTCAAAATAAACAAACGCAGGCAGCATTCTTCTAAGGTAGCTTTACTAAAACGTCTATACACAAAGAACTACATCTTGGAACTAAAGATGGCGACGGACACACAGTACAAGACAAGCAGGCAAAAGTAAACATCCTGTTCTTCAAGCTGGGTAACTCCCTTTTTCTTCCCTGGGCAAAGGAATTTCTGTTATCTCTGTCTCAAGGTTCTTTCTCTCTCTGCCTCTTAATAACAATTCTAACACACAGCTGAATCCATCTTTGAAAACCAATACTATTACATTGTAATACATTATAATACTAATACAAACACATTGAAAAACATACATACATATGAAATAACTATAACCACTCTGACAAACCACGCCGTCCATGCGGGTATTAAACTCATCATGATATGTGGATTTGGCACTACCGAGGTCAAAGAAACAGTGACTTGATTTACTGCTCTTAAGTCTTGAACAGGGCGAAATTCGCCCTGCCCTCCTGGCTTTTTGACTGGCAACAGGGGAGAGTTCCAGGGTGAGCTGCAAGGTATAATTATTCCATGTTCCAGTAGCCTGTCAATATGTTTTTGTATTCCTATTGATGCTTCCCGACTGACAGGGTATTGGGGCCTCTTTACCGGCCCCATTCCTTTCTTTACTTCCACCACTACTGGGGGCACATATTTAGCCAGGCCGGGCGGGTTATCTTCTGCCCATACCAAAGGCGTCCTCTCCCACGGCCACTGGGCTTTCGGTGGTTCTGATGCTTCCTGTCTTATGAGAAACAACCTCCATTCCTCTTCCATTGGAATAGTCAATTCCATCTGGCCAGTGTTAATAAATTGAATCTGTGCCCTTAGTTTAGAGAGAATGTCTCGTCCCAAGAGGGGAACAGGACAATCTGGGAGATATAATAATTTGTGACTCACATTATGTCCAGCCAAATTACAAGTCCTTTCCTGGAGCAAGGGGCATTTCTGGACTTTTCCTGAAACCCCTATAACTCGAGTGGTTTCAGCACTTGGTGGGCTCGTTAGCTTGTTTATTACTGATCTTTCAGTCCCTGTATCCACCAAAAAGTCAATTTGTTGGTCCCCGATTTCCATAGTGACCATAGGCTCCCCGGGGTCCAACAAAACAAGAGCCTGGCTCCTTCATTCACCATCTTCTATGTCCTCCCATCCTTCTTCCTCCACCACTGCAGCCACTATTGCCTCCTTTTCCTGGTACGGTGTATAACTTCCTCGTCCTCTGCCACGTCCCCGGCCTCTTCCTCTACCATTTTCTTGACCTCCTCGGCCACCAGTCACCTGCTCTGTACATTCCCCCTTCCAGTGACCAAATTTCCTGCATTTCGCGCATTGATCCCATCCTAGTCTTCCAGTTCCTCCTCTTCCTCGACCATTTCCTCTTCCACGTCCTCTGCCTCTTTTCTCCTGTTCTACCATCCATCATGGATAGGAGAGTCTTGTATCCTTCCTTTCTATCCCTCTTCTTCTTTTCTTCTTCTACCTGGTTCCTAGCCATATAGACCTGGTCAGCTATGGCTAATAACTCATTCATGGTTTTTCCTAAAAACCCAGGTTGTTTTTGGATTTTCCTTCTTATGTCATCTGCTGCCTGTGTAATGAAAGATTGTGCCAGTGCCCTCTTTCCATTGTCATCTTCCAAGTTGTAGGGGCTATATCTTCTATAGGCATCTTCTAATCTTTCCAAGAATGCTGTAGGGGATTCTGTCTTTTCTTGTTTAACACTCTGTATTTTGAGTATGTTTGCAGGGCGTGGTGGACCGTGTCTTATAGCGTCCACCAAAAGGCCCTGAAATACTTTCAAGTCCACCCTATGTTGTGGATTGTTGGGGTCCCATTGGGGATCCACCTCGATCGGGAGACGTTGGGCCCCCCAAACCACTGCATCTGTCCCCGCCGGGGGCTATGCCTGAGCTAGTAGTATCGCCTGATTGATCACCTGTCTCCTTTCCTCAGTAGTAAACAAAACCTGGAGCAATTGTTTGCAATCCTGCCAGGTGGGATTATGGGTTGCCATAATACTTTCCAATAAGTTAGCCATTGCTTGGGGCTGCTCCGAGTATGGAGGGGTGGAATTTTTCCAGTTCAACAGATCACTACTGGTAAATGGGACCACTTGGTATGTTCTCACTATCTGATCCTGGCTATTGAGGATTGGAACTTCCCGGATGGGCATCTCAACCAGTGGGGCATTTATGGGTGACCCAAACGAAGGGGCCAAATTGCCCCGGCTCCTGGTTTGGGCCGGGCTTGCATCACTTGGCATTCTGCTGGACTTTTTTTCAATCTGTCCTCCATCTCCAACTTGAAGGGCCGACAAGTCTGGATATCTCAAAGATGAATTTTTATTTCCCCCCTGTCCATGATAAGGTGGGGGTGGTGGCGGTGGTAATGGAGGAGCGACTGGCAGTGAAGGGGCATTAGGCACTGCAGGGGCCGCTGGTCTTCTAACAATTCTCCCTGCTGCCTCGGGTTGGTCTTCCTCTTGTGACCAAACCTTCCCTTTTCCCTTGCCTCCTCTCTTCTTGAATGCCATGCATTGTTCTTGTTTACATTTTCTTATCCAGTCCGGATTTTCTGAGACAACATTGTCCCAAGTGGCAATATAAATGTATTGGTCTGGATGTTTGTTTGCACAATATTCCTCTACCTGTCTAATCTTCTTGAGATCCCAAGTTCCCTCTTCGGGCCAATCAAAAGGAAATGTGGGCCACTCGCCTGTACACAAATTTCTTAACCTGTAATCCTTAAAATCTCCTGGATCTGCTTGACTAGATGCTGCCACAAATTTATCAAAATGTTTTAACATGCACTGCAATGGGGACATTGGCTTTGAACTCCCCCCTCCCATGGCTTCTAGGTGGGATTTGGCCTTGGCCTGAGCGCCTGGACACTCGACAGTGCGCGTCAGAAACCGCAAGGCTTCCTCCTTTCCTCCCACCAACCCAATGGGAGACTTAGTGGTTCCCTTCCCCGGCGCCGGTATGTATGTTCCCTTAGTGTCTTTACTCAACCACTAATACTTGCCAGATTATTGGACGTCGGAACAACCTTCGCCCCTGGACTTCCTCCTCCTCCTTGGATCCCTCCTGGCTTTCCCGTCTGGTTTTCTCTGGTGATTTGTGTCGTTACGATTACCTTGATCCAGCGACGTGGACAGAAGAGAGAAGTACCGCAACCGGTCAGCTGGGGGCCCCCTATACTCGGCTCACGGTGGTTATCTCCAGTCCTCGGCGCTGATCAAGAATCGTCCTGCCAACAGGATCCGCCCCTTGATCCTTGGCTCGTCTTACTGGATCCGAGTCACGGCACCAGAAATGTAGCAGACCTTTTTGCCCAATAGGGCCCTCAGCCAAAGCTTGGCTTGCAACCGCAGGCAGGAATCAAAGCGAGCGCAGGCAGGAATCAAAGGGACGGACAACTTGATTCATCCAAAGGAAAACAGTTTATTAAGTTTCAAAGCAGCTGCCTGGTCACCTCCAACGCAACAAGGCGTTTCTGAGGAAGCGACCCCCTCTGGTGGGCTGAACTCTTTATATATATTTTGGAAAAACGAAAGTTCCCATTTCCCTGAAATCATGTGATTTCCGAGAAATCAGGTGGTCTTTCAGGGGCTGCACCCCGCACTCAACTTTTGCACAGAGCCCCGCACTCAACTTTTGCACACGGGACTCTCCCCCCCCCTCACCTTCCTTATTTGGCAGCATATCCCTTATTCCCATTTCCACAACAATAAGGCTGCCTCATTACCAGGCCGGCGGGGGTGTTTGCATGCTATGCTGTGCTGTCCCCTCCGCCACTGGTCTGCTGCTAGCTCTGCCTCTGGCCTCAAAGCCAGAGCAACTGCCGAGGGAACCAAACCCAGAGCAGGGAGGCAGTGGGAGAAGAGGACCCCGCCCCTCGCGGCCCCGCCCACGCTCCGGTTTTGGTTCCCTCGGCAATTGCTCTGAACTTTGAGGCCAGAGGCAGAGCTAGCAGCAGACCAGTTGCGGAGGGGACAGCACAGCATAGCATGCAAACACCCCCGCCGGCCTGGTAAAGCAGCAGGAGTTGAAGACGGAGCAGGGTGGGCGGAACCGGGGGGCGGGGCCCTCTGCGGGGGCAGGGCGGAGCAGCCAGAGGCCCCGCCCCTCTGGCTTTGGCTCCCTCCTGTAGCAGCTGCTCTGAGATGGAGGCCGGAGGCGGACCCAACTCAATGCCTGCGAGGGTGAAGACAGCCCAGTAGGCTACCATGCCGCCAGATTGGTAGCAAAGGCTGCCGCTCCTCCTCTTCGCCCCCTCCCTCCCTGCGCCCTCCCTGTGACTTCCTCTCACATATTTACACAGGGTCTCATCATGTCTCCTCTCAGCCTTCTCTTCTTCAAGCTAAACATACCCAGCTCTTTAAGCCACTCCTCATAGGGCTTGTTCTCCAGACCCTTGACCTGCTCTCTCCTCCCTATGACTTCCTCTCACATATTTATACATGGCTCTCATCATGTCTCCTCTCAGCCTTCTCTTCTTCAGACTAAACATACCCAGCTCTTTAAGCCGCTCCTCATAGGGCTTGTTCTCCAGACCCTTGCATTTGTTTGCTCCCTCCTCCCTATGACTTCCTCTCACATTTTTATACATGGCTATCATGTCTCCTCTCAGCCTTCTCTTCTTCACTAAACATACCCAGCTCTTTAAGCCACTCCTCATAGGGCTTGTTCTCCAGACCCTTGATCATTTTAGTCACCCTCTTCCTCTGGACACATACCAGCTTGTCAACATCTCCCTTCAGTTGTGGTGCCCAGAATTGGACACAATGTAATTCCAGGTTTGGCGTAACCAAGGCAGAATAGAGCATGGGGAGCATGACTTCCCTGGATCTAGACACTAAGCTCCTATTGATGCAGGCCAAAATCCTATTGGTTTTTTGTTTTGTTTTGTTTTTTTGCCACAGCATGACATTGTTGGCTCATGTTTAACTTGTTGTCCTCAAGGACCCCAAGATCTTTTTTTTACACATACCGCTCTCGAGCCACGCGTCCCCCATCCTGTATCTTTGCATTTCATTTTTGACAGAAGTCAAAGTGGAAAGCTCTTATTGACCCAGGGCCCCCCTTCCTCTTTTCTGATCTCCTTTCCCCTTCTAACAATTAAACATCACCTGGCTGTGTCCTTGAGAAAGTCTAAAACAATTCAAGCTGTCACGGTGATTTAAGGATGAAGACATGTCAAGATGTGACCCAGTAAACATGTGCCATGCCAAATGCTACATTTCTGAAGGATGAGGGTCCAATCTGCCCCTCTCTTCTGATAGGAGGTCCTGATTTATAAAGACTGCTTATAGATAAAAATTCTACAAATGCTTTGCCTTCACCTCAGTACTCATAGTACAAAGCCTGACTTCTATTTGCATGCAAGCTTCTATGCCAACATAAATGTAATCTGAACCATTTAAAGCCTGCTTTCATACTTGCCAGCATGATGTAAACGACCCAGAGCGTAAATGAAATTCAAGGGAGGAAGAGCAACTATAATGTCCAATATAAGGTACAATGTCCCTCTCATAGGAACCTGCATGTCATAAGCATTTGAATTCAAATTACCATATTGAATTCAAATCTGATTTTTTAAAATTTTTATTTGGTGTGCATTGGAAGAGGGGTGGTCTTATACGGCGAGTATATCCCAAACTCTATATTTTAACTGGAAAAGTTGGGGGTCGTCTTATACGCCCAGTCGTCTTATATGCCGGAATATACGGTAATAATACCAGAATTGAAATGTTTTTAATAATATAATGAAAGGAGGAAAAACCCCAGACACATGGAGAGAAGCAGAGATAATAAAAGTGAGAAAGAGTGGGAAGGATTCAGTCTCCGAAATCAGGATTATAAAATATTCACAAAAATATTAGTAAATAGAAGAGATTATAACTAAAATTTATTTATTTATCGTGTCAGTAACAACCAGACAATTGTATGACATTTTTAACAAATTTTTAACAAACAGACAAAACAGAGTTTGCAAGCTTGGTAGTCGATTAAATATCCTTTGACCAGTAGCTAAGTAGCTAACTAAAATAGTAAAGGATGATCAATACGACTTTATAAAAGGCAGAAATATTGCGCAACCTATAAGAAATGTCTTACACATTCTCATTCATAGCAAAAAAGAAAAAAGAAAATGTGCACTCTTAAAGTTAGACATCTATAAATCTATAAAGCTTTCAACTCATTAAATCACGATTATCTGTTGCAATTAATGGGTAGCTATGGGTTTAAAACGTCATTTATTAAAATAATAAAAGAATTACATAGCAACATGGGAGCAAGAAAACAAATAAATGAAGGATTAACAAAAAACTTTAAAATAGAAAGACGAGTAAAACAAGGTTGTCCTGTATCTCTGCTACTATTCGCATTAGCAATGGAACCTCTGGGAGATATAATAGGAAAGCATGGCAGGATAAAGGGATATCAGATTAGGAACAAAGAAGTGAAGATAAATCTTTATGCTGATGACATTTTACTAACAATAGAAAACCCAGCAGGCCAAGACAATATGTACTTATAAGAAAGCTAAAGTCTTGAGTCGGGTTAAAATAATACAATTGCACCAACACAGTCGGAGTAACAATGAACACAAGTTAAGGTCGAGAGTCCCATTGTAGAGCACTGCAGATCCAGGTCAGGAGCAAGAATAAACAAAAGCCAAGGTTACACTCCATTGGTAACATGCCAGGAGTTCATTCAACAGAGCTGATAAAATAACAACCAAGAAATAAAGAGTCCAAACTGAATTCAGAGTCCCCAAGTCAAGCCAGAAAGTCAGGGATACAAACAAAGTCCTGGTTCATAAATAAAGGAAGTCAGTCCAGAATTTAGAGTCACCTAATCAGGATACAACAAAGTCCAGAAAATGGTTACAGGTACATGGCTGGAGCCCAAAATTCTAACTAAGGGGCAGTGGAGCCAAGACAGGAGTCCAAAGTATGAAGACATGATGTTATCTGCTACCAAGGTAAAGGTAAAGTTTCCACCCTGATATTAAGTCTAATCTGGTCCGCTTCTGGGGGTTGGTGCTCATCTCCATTTCTAACAGCCGGCATGACTGCATGGAGCGCCATTACAAAGAGCTATTGTTTTTCAGAGCCCGTTAATCCAGAGATCTCAGCTGCTGCTCATTTCAGCAAACCTTCACAGATCATCCTAGAAGCCTGTGCTGGGTTTCCTTGTGGAGGTTAGGGGAACCCCTTGGAAGCGTGCTACAACACAGAAAAGTGCCCCTCTGAGTGAGACCTGCTCCCAGTAGCCGTCGACCAAGGCCTCACAAACTGAAG